CATGAATTGAAGGTGTAACCTTGACCTTGTACCATGCATGTAACATAGAGTAGCTTCTAGCTCTACCAATAAAAATGAATTCAAAAAATAGTACAACAAAAATGCGAAGTGCATTCCAAGTTTGACACCGAGATTTATAAAAAACGGTATGTCTAATATGTAACGTGTTTTTCTTTTAAGTTTTGATTGGTTACGATAAATAGTTGTAACATGTGTTGTCACTCTTAAGATGATGTTTTTGGGCATTTAAAAGCATATAAAGACGTGGTGTGGTGCTTGTTGTGACTATTGGTTCATGTCATGTAGCGGGTCTTACTGATGTTTTTGTTACACTACGTCACTACTACAAAAACAAGCAAAACAACAACCCCAAAAGCATCGGTTTTAAAAAAACAGATACAAAATTGGCACATTTGCGAGACAGAACTGAATCCTTCTTGTACTTGCATCAGTTGTTATTCTAAATAATCGATGCAAATGAGTTAAGCTGTTAATTTGGTTATATAGAAAAACCATTGCTAATGCTTAAAGCATGGGTTATTCTAAATAACCAATGCCCTTGGCGGTTATTTAGAAAACCAATGCTAATGCTTATGTGTATATTTGAGTGTAAGATTTTCTCATTCAGCGTCATCATTGAGCGTGTAGTGTGTTTTGTTGAAGCTATAGTGAATCGTGTAAATTACGTGTTGTAAGAAAATAGTTCATCATTTTCTCATTACCGAAGACCAATTTATATGAGGTTTAAATAAAGTTTACAATCAAAGCCAAATGAGCCATTCTATAAAAAGGTAACACATTTAACTTGACACAAATAAAAAATATGAAATTGTAAGCTTGAAATATAGTTTACAATCAAAGCTAAATCAGCCATTCTATAAAAGGTAACACATTTAACTTGACACAAAAATTAAAAATGTGAGATTGTAAGGATGAAAGTGGTATAGAGGAAACAAATTTTTAAAAATGGAAAATATAATCTTTTTTGAGATTGACAAGAAAATGTGAAATCTTTTTATTTGAATTAAAGAATTTCTATAAAACGACACCTATATTGAATATTATATTTTTATATTATCGTTGAATATCTCTCGTTGAGATCTATAAAACGACACCTATATTGAATATTATATTTTTATATTATCTACGTTTCACATTTAATTTCAAAGTAAGGAGTAAAATTTATAAATTCTGTTTTCTCTATTTTCTTACCAAATGTATATAATGTATAATTTTTAGTATGGTTTTTCGCGATGTGACATTCTTTTAATGCTACTCCCCCATCCCAAATTAGAATTCTAAGTTTGATTTGACACCGAATTTAAAAAGAGTGAAAATGTATCATTGAAAATGCATCTTTGTTAGGAAACAATTTTTAATATCTTAAGTTTCTGGATTTATCTTGGGAGATGCATTATGATGACCAATAAATGCACTGTGATTTGACCTTATATTTTATTCTTTGTTTTATTCAATTGATTTTTGGATTAGTGAATAATGAATTAGTAGTGACCTTGTATGTGATGAAAAAATCTTGGAATGTGTTGCATTCAAAACATCTCTAGTAGAGATATGAGAAGTAGTTTGTCTATGCGGGATTCGAACTCACATCCGTAATATATAGATATCGCTCTACCATCTGAGTTAATAGGCAACAATTTGTTTTTATAGTCTCTCATCTTACATTTAGACGTCTTAAATGCACATTTTTATAATTTAAAATAGGCACACATTCAATGTGTCTCTAACCCATTTCTAAATGTATCACATAACATTTTAAATGCATCATCGTTTGCTGAAAATGCATTATCTGGAATATACAGATGCAACATATTTGTATTAGGAAGATTTCACCGAGATGCATCAATTTTTTTTTTGAGAATGCATAGTAAAAGAATGCATTATCTATTATTTACATTGATTCTGAAAAATGTATTTTCTTCTCATATTAATTCATTGTGCAGATTCTCATAATGCACCATAACATGAAAAAACAAACAATAAGTAAGGAAAAAATAAAATCAGTCAACCCCAATGAAGTCCTAATTGTCCAACATCGATCATTGTCAAGCCCAACAATTTCTAACAAATAGAGAAAAGTAAACAAAAAGTAAAAAATAAGAAAGGAAATAAAAGCGTGAATACAAATATGAAAATACAAAATGCATCATAAAAATTATGAATTGGGAAAAAATGAATTAGATGCGCAGAGGAATAGGAAATGGGAAAACAAAATGCAACAAAATAGAAATTAGATGCACCATGCAAGTTGGAAAAAAACACATACTGGAAATTGGGTAAAACAAATCAATCAGATACGCACATATTTTTATACAAAAATTTAGAAATATGAAGGATTAGATAAACACTGAAATTTTTAAGAAGTAAATAAATGAATTGGATACGTCATTCGAATAGATATACACTATAAGTCCAAAAACTAAAACCAATCAATTTGGGCAAATAAGGCTATGATGCGCATATCTATCTATGTAAACAAATGAAAAAGAAATTAGATGTAGTAGATAGAAAGACGAATTTTAAAATAGTGACGAAGATATGCAAACAAATGAAGTTCTAAAAAATCACTAGTATAGGAAATTAAAAGAAAGTACGTGAATCCATGTGGGGACTCACAATACAGCACTGTCTTTTACCTTTTCCGATGAACACCGAAAACAACAACAAACTACTCTAGGGAAACGTAAATCTTGAGAATGTTGAAAAAAGTTTTAATTCGGAGAGACAAATCTGGATCGGAAGATTAAACTCTAGAAACTATTTGAGATTTAGAATTGAACATTTGACGTGCGCTAGACTTGCGGAACTGAATATAATAGAAATACATAAAGGGAAAGAGTTACGAAAGTACATAATTACCCTTAGCTGATGCAATCTAATAGGCGATGCAATCCAGTAAATCTAACGGTGGAAATGTTTTCTTATTTCTTTCACTAGATTCTATTCTCACCGGAACCGAAATCTATATATATATATATATATATATATATATATATATATATATATATATATATATATATATATATATGGCCCGGAAAAGAACCACCATAAACGGTGGGTTAATGTCTAGGCATCCTTACCAAAATTTATTTTATATATATATATATATATATATATATATATATATATATATATATATATATATATACACACACTTTTAATTTCAATTTATAATTTTCTTTAATGTGAAGGTTGTTTTTATTATATTAGGACTCAGAAAAAAACTAAAAGTCTATTTGGAGAGCGTATGAGATATATATAAATTTTTATGAGTAAATTCCATAAAAGGTCCTCAGTTATAGGTCGTTTTACATATTTAGTCCCTACATATCAAATATTACTTATTTAGTCCCCAATTATTATATTCATTTTCACGAATAGTCCTTTTTTAACATTTTTGTTAAGAACGTGGATAAAATTGTAAATTCACACTTCTTTGTCTCCTCAATTAAGCTTCTTCCCTCCCCTCGCACTCCTTTCCAAAATCTGTCGCTGAGTTTGAAGCTTTGAACCCAAATTTGAAATTATCACTCTTCTCTCAATTGTTTGTCGAACTGATGGAACCCAAATGTGAAACCAGTAACCTTCATGGATGAGTTTTAATGTTTATTTTCTTTGCAATTTCTTGAGACTAACCGATAAAACTCATCCATAAAGCTTATTGGTTTTGATTTTAGAGAGGGGTGATCATTTCAGTTTTGGGTTTAGAGTTTCAAACTCAGCGACAAGTTTGAGAAAGAGTACGAAAGGAAGGATGAAACTTAATTGAGGAGAGAAAGGAGTGTGAATTTACAATTTTATCTACGTTTTTAACGGAAATGTTAACAAAGGACCATTCGTGGAAATGAATATAATAATTAGGGACTAAATAAGTAATATTTGACCTTTTATGGGACTAAATATGTAATAATTGTAAAACGACCTATAACTAGGGACTAAATATGTAAAACGACCTATAACTGGGGACCTTTTATGGAATTTACTCAATTTTTATATCTCTCGATATCATATTTCTTTGTAAGTGATATCATATTTCTATTTGTATTTCGCCCTGAATTTTAAAAATTGTAGCAATATCTACCGATTTTTTAAAAATATTGCATCCATAATTCCTTTGTGTCAAGTTTAAGAGTGTTAATCACACTCATCCATACATGTGGAAAACTTGATGAAGATATCATGAATCGATGAAGACATTGAACTGTTGATGACAAGCTTTATCGACTGATATTTGATGTTCAAATTGATTTATCGACGACTAAATCAAAAATAATAGTTTAGCATTTAAAGAAGTTAGAAATATAGAAGATAATATTTAAGGACATATAAAATATTATAATGTTTGATATAAAATTTAATTTTAGATGAATTGATACTTACTGGATGAGAGTGTGATTAACACTCTCAAAAATGACATTATGCAAAATTAGTGTAACATTTTTAAAAATTCATAGGATATTGGTATACTTTTTAAATTCAAACAGAATTTATGCATACTTTAAAAAATTCAAAAGTCAATGATACAAAACACTTCAAAAACTTCCCACAAAATTTTTCTACTTTCATTTTTCATAGGTCTCAAAAATATTTTTAATTTCTGTTAAAAAAGTTAAATTTTAACCATGCTAATATTATACCTATATATTAAAATTATGAATCTACCTATCACATCCTACTTTACTTTTGACATTTTAACTATTTTTAGTCATCACATCAATTGACATTTTTGAAAAGTCTAGAGTATATCTCTTAGACATAATTTTTTTATGAGATTTCTATTTGTGTTTAGAGAAAAATAAAAAGAATTTAAGATGTATAGATATCACAAATCAATGACAATGAAAAAAGAAAAAGACAACATAATAGGCACGAATACACATACGTTGTAATATTAACCACCTTACCATTCATACATCAAACAAACAAGCAAACAAAAAACATTCAAAACCAACACTAAAAAACTGCATGTAATAAGAACAAACCATAATTAAGCACATAATAATCTAGAGCTCGTCGTCCCTCTTCGTCTTGCACTTGGCTTTGTCGCTGCAAACCAAGTTATCCTTCGCCTCCCTAGTCTTCTCCGTCGACGCCCCGAGGTTCGACGCGATCGTCTCCTTCGCCGACTCCACCACTTCCCCCGCCTTGCTCTTCGCCGCCTCGTACCCCTCCTTCGCTTTCTCCGCCGCCCACCCCACCTTCTCCTTCCCCGCCGCCTCCGTGGCCTTCTCCGCCGTCCCGGACGCCTTTTCCACGGCGCCTTTGGCGGTCTCGTACGCCCTTTCCTTCGCGTCCCCGGTTTTCTGGTACGCTTGGTTGGCCGTCTCGGCGGACTTCTCTTTCGCCTTCTCGTATGCGCTCCCTGCGGTGTCAGAGGCCTTTTGCCTAGTCTTCTCCGCGCCGTCGTACGTCGCGTCTTTCGTATCAGAAGCCTTTTGCTTCGTCTTCTCCGCGGCGTCGGAGGTCGCGTCTTTGGCTTCCCGGGCTTTGTTGCTGGCGGCATGCCTGTTCTCCTCCGCCTTATCTGCAACATACTCTCCTGTTCCTGCATATATATACCCAACATATACACTTTTGTCAAATTTCACACAAATTACTACATCGTATGACCCCTAAAATCATTTTCATTCAGTACCTTGTTGGTAACTTACAACTTTCTATTTAAAAATTATTTTTATTGAATTTCGAGTTAAAATTTGACTTGAAAGTCAACAACGAAATACACTCCTTTTAAATCTCTTAAAAATCAAAACAAGAAATGTTTTGTGGGACGAAGAGAGTATATTAAAAGATTATTTAATCGTCAGAAGGGGGGATCGGAGATGGATTACCGGAGGCGGAATCGGCGATCTTGTCCTTGGCGTTCCTGGCCGCGTCTTGGGCGGACTTAAGGCGGAGGCTTTCGGCGAGCTTATCCTTGGCCCACTCCGTCCACGACTCCGAATTCTGATCCTTCGAGTCGTCGACGGCCGGGTTTTTTGTCTCTATCTTGACATTAGACACATCCTCCTGACCGAGAACGACGTCTGCCGCTTCATGACCCACTGTGGCGGTGGCCGCCACCGCAAGGAGAGCGGTCATCACCGCCGCCGCCGCCGCGGCACAACCGAATAGCCTTGGGGGAATTGATGTTGGTGCCATAGATTTCGATAAGGGTAGAAATGGGATTTTGAATTTGGTAGTTTTTTTTCTCTTCTCTTTTTTGGTTCTTTTGGATTGGAAGTTGAAAGGGGGGAGAGGGAATATATATGGGGGAGTGGTGGAAGGCTACGTGGGAGGAGAGTGCATGCAGAGAAGACACGTGTTGGTCGCCGGTGTCACAGGTGTCAGTCGTCAGGGGCTGACACGTCAGGAGTCGGGCACCATGTCACCAAGCATCGGTTTGGAATGGTCGTCAATATCTGAACCTCTTTTGGGAATGTTTGGCTGAAAAAGGTAAATTGAGATATAATTTCAATCAATTTGGTCAAAAAAAATTTTGAAAAAGGAATAACAAAAATTACTAGAATGAATCTTAAACAATACTTTTTGACGTAAATAAGATCACTTTATTTTATAAGACTTAGGTCATGTTCTCCCCAACTTATTTTTTTCATTTATTACTTATTTTTATTAGAATCAGATCAAAATCAGAAATAGCTATAAATAGAACGACATTCAGATCAGATCATAACTTATTTCAATTATATCAAAACCAATCAGATCAGGTGGAAAGAACATGACCTTATCATAAATAAAAATATAAAACGTGATCTGACCACATAACCGGTCCGGTTCAACCACCCAAATTCCGCAAAAAACTAAGAAAAGTTGGGGTGATCCTCGAAGGAAAAAAATTAAAACAGTACATTCTATTTCACACGGGATGAAACACAACAAATCTAGTAAAATCTCACAAAAAAGAAGAGTTTGGGAATTAAGAAAAAACTTGTTAAGAAAGTGTTAACTAGTGATCACAATCACTACAAGAATCTCGCGTATAAGCTGCAAAAAAATAGAGGGGGATATGTCCGCCTCTAATTAGCTGCAGAGCAAAGGGGAAATATTCACCCTCTGTTTTAAATTTTTATTAGTGGGTAACATTTCCGCCTCTAGTTTCGTAGCTAATTGAAATAAATTTCAATTTTATTACCGGGAGATTAAAGTTAAATAAAAAATAGCGGGAGAAATAAAAATTTAATTTTTTTTTAAAAATATTTGAATTAGAGGCGGAATAGTCCCCCACTAGTATCAAACACAAAAGAGTCGGACTTATCCCTCGCTAAATCCGTAAATTTACAATAAAAAAAAGATGGAACTAGAATAAGGGTAATATTTCCCCCTCTAATTCAAAAATAAAAATAGTGTGGTAATTTTGTGTGGTATGTATCTCCCCCTTATCCCATTAAGAAAAAAAAGCCTCTTCTGTTTCTCCCTCAAAGCAGCCGAGGAGTGACCCGCTAGCTGAAGCAGCCGCATGTGAGAAGCCGCTGAAGTGAGAAGCCGTCACCCCCGCGTCGCCGACCGCCGTCACCCCGCTCTCTTCTCCGCCGTCTAGCAAGCCGACGCTCAGCCTCCCCTCCAATTTCTAGGTTTTAACTCATCTTGAAATTACTCTAATTGTTCAATTATGTGAATTTCTTTTCTTGTCTCTTGAAAATTCTCTAAATTCTTCAATTATGTGAATGAAAATATTCTAATTGTCCAATTGTATGGAATTTTATGTTTTACTTTTGTTACCCCAATTTGATTTTTGATTTTATATTTGTTGGTATATTTTTATTCTAATTGTTCAATTATGTGGAATTCTTTTTGTAAATCAGTTTTAATGATGATTTTTTTAAACTAAAAAAATGAAAGAATCAAATTTTATTGTGTCTTGGTTTTTGTTCCCACCTACCAGTTTTAAAGTAGGTTTGATTGTACAAATCCGGAGAGTTTTTTTAAAGTTGTAGTTTTGAAACAACAAAATATTGTCATGCTTAGGTTTATTTGTTGGTATTTGGATATCTACTTGTCACATATCGTACTGTATTTATTACCATTATATTTTATTTTTATACTCCCTTGCCCAAATAAATTGGTATTAAGATGCAGAATATGGATCGTACTTGGATGTATGAAAGACTTTATCCAGGGAGAAAAGGGTTGAAAACTGAATTCATTGAAGGGGTGAAAGAATTCGTTAGAAAAGCAAAGGAACTTCCACAATTTTTATCAGAGGGAGGGATTCGATGTCCATGTGTGAAATGTGAATGCATGAACATATTAAGTGAAACAGATTTAAGAGCTCATTTATACAAATATGGATTTCAGCCTAATTATTGGACATGGACAGAACACGGGGAAGATAAGCCAATTTTTGATATTAGAGATGAC